ATTATTATTATTATTATTATTATTAATCTTCTAATTTATGATCGTCTCTGAACCTGTGAGCGGTTCTGTTCTGAACCGGGCCAGTTATTTAAACAAAAAGTTCAATGTGTAAAACTGGATCCAGCTGGTTCCTCAGGACCTCAGAGGTCCAGGACCTGGATCAGTGGAACCACCTCCACCTGCAGCTACAGGTGCATGTTGGAAACACATCAGCCATGACCCGAGAGCAGCAGCTGTCAATCAAAGGTCCTTCAGAGTCCATCCTTCACCCTGAAGGTCAGACTGTGCAATGAGCTCCAGCTCTCTACAGGCCTCAGTCTGCAGGTCACAGATCTGTTTGGAAACCAGAACCAGACCAGAGGACCCAGAACGCACTGCAGCTGTCAGCACTGTGGTGGACCAGGAAGTCCTCTGTAGTCCGTCTGTCTGACAGCTGAAGTCTGGATCAAACTGGGTCCAACAGAACCCTGATCCCAAACCCAGCAGCTGCTCTACAACAGAACGAGTCAGAAAGAGAAGAATCAAGCTGCTGCAGCGGTCCAGAACCAGAACCTGACTGGAACTGATGGGAAGTTTGACTCTGAACTTCCTGTCATCTGTAGACTCATATTTTAAATTAACTTGGTAAAAATGAAGGCTGAAAGTGTTTTCTGACACTCCTGTTTTGTTACCAGGCACTCAAGTTACTTTTGTTAATTATTTTGTTTAATGTTTTATTCAAACTTTTAGATTTTATTAACTTTGAAAGCTGCGCTGGGCCTTTGAGGGGACATTTATTTAAATGTGAGAACATGAATTATGCAAAATTATCAAGTTAAAGAAAACTGACATGTCTTATACCTGCTGCCTTTAACAAAAATAAAATATTTATTAAAATAAAATAATTTCATTTAAATAAACACAATAAATCTATTTCACTAAAATAACTGAAAGACAAAATAAAAGTCGGCTGGTTTGGAGACCCACCAGTCTGTTGGGGTTCTGGTAGTCCTGGACCTCCCTCTGGTCCCGCTCGGCTTCCGTACTCGCCTCGGGACACAGCGCGGACAGCAGCGCCGCGCACAGCACAGCTCGCGCCCACATAACGACACAAACAAACAAACAAACAAACAAGCTGCTGGGGGGAAGCAGAAAGTTCCGGTTCGGATCCGGACTGCCTCCAGCTGAGACTTGCGCGCTGACTGAGGAGGGGAGTTCCCGGCGCGCGGCATCTTTGGACTCAGGCACGCCCCTCTCATCGAAGTGACGTCACAGGTAATTAAAACAACTTCATCTCTGCTCTGACGTCAGAGTTAATTCAAGTAAAAAAAAAAAACCCGGATTAAACTTTTATCTTGTTTTAATTTGAAAATATTTTAAAGTCCTGAAGAGAAACTATCATCTGTTCCGGTC